AGCGATATGTACAAAGGCAGAGGTGTGAGAAACAAAGTGTCTGTACAGAACTCCCAATGGCTCAGGAGTGTAAACTGAAATTTTCATATGGGGAAGAGTGGCCATGAGACTACATGACCATCCTATTTAGAAAATAATATACATTATTATTATAATAGAAATTACAATTCTTCTTTTATAGACATCCCAGTGGAAAATGTTGCGACAGGAACTGTTGAAGTACCTGGAATGCTTCTTGGTGGCTCTCATTAATGGGTGTCAGATGTCTGCCCCACCCAACAAGACTGAAGCCATGTGGGAAGATTTTATAACCTGCCTAAAGGATCAAGATCTGATCATTTCTGCAGCACCTGCGGCTCAGCCTTTTCACCTCTTAGCAAAAACTGCTCTTTCTAGACCTTTAGTTTTGGTTTTAGATGACAATTTTTATTATCAAAGTATGAGATATGAGGTCTACCAACTGGCTCGGAAATGTAATTAACACATTTTTTTCTTACACGTGGGAATATTCATTCATATATCAAAATCTACTTTCAGTGAGAATTTAATTTGGTTAGGAGGTTATTTGGATTTGACTTTAAAACTAGGTTTTCAGTATTGCAAATGGAGTTTTTCTTGCTTCAGTTGGGATCTGTCTAGTATATATTTATTTCAGTTTGAAAAATAGACCACTAATTGGGTGATTTTAAACTTTGCAGATTCATTAGGCTTCTGCCAGATCTTTTTAGACAGCCCTCTTGAGACCTGTTTGCAGAGGAATGGCCAGAGACCACAGGCAGTGCCTACCGAGATCATCTGCCTGATGGAAAGAAAGATAGAAAGACCCAACCCTGAGAAAAATGCTTGGGAACACAACAGCCTCATAACTGAGAGTCCAGCACATTCATCAGAGGCCAGGTATTCTATTCAAGCCCGTCCTTCCCTGGTGCTCCCCCAGGCTCCATGCTAAATAAATTCTTTACCCATACTGGCTTGATCCTCACATATGTCCTTGAGAGTTGTGTGGAAGAACAAACTGAAGTGAGAAGGTGCAGTTTGTCCGGTTTCTGAACTCATGGCAGCCAAGTCCCTAAATGGCTGCTCTTAACTGTTAAGATTATACTGTCTCCCAAAGACTGGAGAAGGAAACTCATAGTCGAACACATCTTTTATACTCTTGTCAAAATAAAATAATCCAAATATGTTGCCCAGTAATTTTCTTATAAAAAGAATTCTATGGGCTGGGAATATAGCTCAGTGGCAGAACACCTGCTTGGCATCCACAAGGCCCTGGGTTTGATTCCTAGCACTGAAAAGGAAAGAAAAAAAAAGGACATTTTTAAAAGAATAAGAACTTGTACTGGATCCTAATTTGTCCTAGACCTTGCTATTATTACAGTTTGTGTATATGTGAGGTGCATGGGCTCTCATGTCTAAGGCTATTTATGATATATGTTGTAAGAGTTTTAGAACAGTGCATTTCTAATAGACATATTAAATAGAAATATTCTAGATTTGCACTGTTCAATGTAACAGCTTGCCATATCTGACCACTGAAAACTTAAATGTATCTAATGTAACTGAATACCTGAATTTTTAGTTCAATTTTAATTAAACTCAGAGCCTCACATGGCTAGTACCTGTTATTACTGGATAAGGGAGCTCTCAAGGCCCATTTCATACATGTGGGGAATGAGTAATTTTTTTGTTTTTTGGGTTTTTTTTTTTTTTTTTTAGACAGTATCTTGCTCTGTATTCCAGTCTGGTCTTGAATTCGCTATGTAGCCCAGGTTGGCTTTGAACTCATGGCAATCCTCCTGCCTCAGCCTCCTACGTGCTGGGATTACAAGTGTGCACCACCACACCTAGCTGCTGGGATCGGTCATTTTTAAAAGGCAAATTTTTAAACTCGTTCCTCAAAATGTTTAGTTCCCAGGATATACCTCTTACACATTTGATAAAATATACCCAAAACTAAAATTACTTTTAGGTAACTATGGTTTCTACAGTTTATAAAGCTACTGGTGAGGTTTCTAACTTTTTTATCACAGTATCGAGCAGGCACACAGCCAACTGATTGCTATTTTTTCAGGAATACTTAAAATTGTTTCCTACGGAAGTGAGTAGCTGGTCGAGACAGTGGAGTAGCCCATGAGGGCACCATGGAATTATCATCACTGCTTCGACACCTGGGAGAAGCTTTGGTAGAGCTTCTCTAGTATTACCGCCAGCTCTCACCATAATCTGCAGTTTGGACACTGATTATTAAAAACCTCATTTACCCGTGCTCATCTCTAAGTATTCACAGGGCTGGTAACTGAGGAGTACTACGGGTATGGCAGCCCTGTATTGGAAGCTGAAAGAG